AAAATCTAGGCCAGTTACTTTTTGAAGCTACTGACATATTAAAATTTAAAAAAATCTACTCCAATTCAAAGTTAAAGAAATTGGAATTGAAATGTTTACCTTTTGCAAATAAATCTTTCACATATTACTCTTTTCCCTCAGTGTACATGAAATGCACTGGAGGGTCTGGTTATGGGGAATGAGTTAAGTTGTATTTTGAACACCTTCTTTATTCTGTTTGAAAGCCTTCTGGGATAAGAAGTGTGACATCATTTGGAGATAATTAAAAGTCTAAATTTGAGTCCCTTTGTCAGAAGATAGCGATGACCCTTTGCTGGTGCCAGAATCACCAACCCAACCACCAGCTTTCCCCATTGGCCTCTGATACCCAAGCATGTTCCCACCAAGCTCTACACTTGTATTTTGAGCTTCTACTTATCAGATGGATACAGTAGAGTATTAAAGAAAGCAAGGGCCACCATGACTATGAGGAAAAAAGGTAAACCTTCCAGCAACCACTGCAGCAATGTGCTGAGGTCCTCCAGGGTCCTGGAATCCTGCAGGTGGAGCATCTCAAGGGTTGAGGCACAGGCTGCTTTCTCTCCCTGATGACTGGAGTCACAGGCTTTATTTCCCTGACTTGACTCTCTGAGACTGAGGTCTTGTTAAATATGTAGGGAGTTCATGATCCTTTTTTCAACACAGCATAGCAGAGTCGTTATGAATTCTGCTCTGTCATGTAAGCATGAATTTGGGCCAATTCCTTCTGTGCTGTGGTTTGAATGTGCCCCCTAAACTTCAGGTGTTGCAAGTTTATTCTCCAGTGCAACACTGTTGAGAGGCAAGACCTGTATGAGGTAATTCGATCGCAAGGGCTCTGCCCTTATGAATAGTTTAGTGCTGTTGTCATGGAGTGAGTTATATCAGGAGTGGTTTCAGACATCAGGATGGGCCCAGCCCACTTCCTTTCTCTGTCTCCTCCATGCGATGCCTCTGCTATGTTAAGATGCAGCAAGAAGTCCTTCACCAGATACAGCCCCTCAGGCGTGAACTGCCCAGAACCATAAGCCAGAGAAACCTCTGTTGTTAGGCTGGTGGAGTAGCTTAAGTGGTAGAGCGCCGAGCGCCTGCCTAACAAGTGCAAGACCTGAGTTCCAAGCTCAGTACCATAAAAATAAACAAGTAAACTTCTAAATTGTTTAGAAATTACCAGTCTGTGGTATTCTGTCACAGCAGCACAAAATAGACCAAAAACACTCTGTGTTTCAGTTTTCTCAACTCTAAAACAGAAACAGTAACTAGATTGTGAGAATTAAATGAATAGTTATATATGAAATGCTTAGAACAGCATCAGTGGTGATGTACCAATTAAGATATTTTATAAAGTATGGCAGTAATATCGCACTATTATTGTGTCATTTCCTAGACGAAAAGAAAATTGTGTTCAGTGTAGTGTTAGACAGAATAATGGTCCCTAAAGGATGTTCACATCCTAATCCTCAGACTCTATGAATATGTTAGATTACATGCTAACTACTCATGTGACCTCGAGAGGGGAGATTACCCCAGATTATCTTGGTAGACCCAATCTAATCAAGGATCCTTAGTAAAGGGGGGCAGGTAGACTGAATAAGACAAAAGAAAATACCTCCATCAGTCAGCAGAAAGGTGGGTCGATAAATAATGATTCTGGTTCCTAGAATTTTCTGACTAGAAAAATAATGATTGCCTTAAAATGCTTAAAGTCTCTCGGCTTGGAAAGTTGGGGAGAGAGGGTCATTGTCCTTGAAAGCTGTAGGGTCGTGATTCCATCTCTCAAGAACTCAGTTTCTGACAGAGGCGGCAGTCAACTTCTGTCTACTCCCAGGGGCTGCCTAGAGAGCCGTGCTGAGGGAGATCGTGAGGTCGCACCCACAGCCACCTGGATAGCAAGTGCTGCAATTAGCCACGTCTGTTAAAAACTCAGGCAAGGAGTTTATCCAGGCTGGTGAACTGAACATCCTCACTATTCTAGGGTTACCGGGAGCCAATAATGGCTTTCATGCCTCCCACAGCAACAGAGAACAAGAGGACTCAGGAGTCTACCTAAGAGGCAGGAACTAGGCAGGCGTTCTAAATATCCCATGACCAGTTGGTTGTCACAATTTGTGGGAGGTTGCTGCTGTTCTCTCTGCAGTAGAGGCCAAGGGTACTGTTAAAACATCCTACAACACAGGGCCCAGGGCGTCTCCCCTCCCCCAAATAACTGTCTCTTGTAAATGTCAGTACAGCTGAGGCTGAGAACAATCTGCTGCTTTAAAGAAAGATTTGTTAAGAAAAATAAAGAAGAATCCATGACTGAGGCCCTGCTAATAGTTGGACTGGGGCCTTTCCTTTGTTTTCTTTCCTATGGTTAACAGAAAGTAAGCAGCATTTATGACTCAGACTCCTACGGGAAGTAAGGAATAGATGACTGTGGTTAGTGACAAAAACAATCATAAATGGCTTTGCCTGTCTTGCCTCTTTTTCAGAGTTCGAGAGGGAATGAACTGACCAGCAATTATCATTTAAACTGCTGTTCCATCCTGTATCAATCAGAGCTATTCATTCTGGTTACTCACAGACCTGGGGTTGAAGCCACACTAAATCAGGGTCACAGCCAGTGTGAATGGATAAGGACAGCCTTTTACTCTGTGTGTGTTAATGACCTGGGCTGAACATCAATGGCAAGTTTCCATGAAAAAGCCATCTGAGACCCTAATCCAGGAATAAATGGTTCTATATGGAGCCTATTACCCTGATTTTGATATTCTGTATTCAATGGGACCACAGCTGTAAACAACTCTTCATTTTAATTTCTCTACCAGGTTCATTTGCACCGTGTCAGCACTGCAGGCTTTCTGCATATGCTCGGGACAAGCTGATATGAGCAGGCCTGGAATGACTAATGTTTAGTAAAATCAATAAACTCTATTATTAGTCACTAAGGGGACTGATTTTATGTCTATAAAAGTAAAACAATTAGAAGCATATTAATGGCAGGTTCATCATAGTAATATAATGGAGCCAAGTAGGCTTGTCTTTTGGGAATCTTTAATTTACCATTCGGTACTGAATATATACTCAGCCAGAGAAATGGCACACATAATGTACACAAACTCTGGCCTTTGGCAATTCATGGTGTCACCAGCAAAGGCAGCACTGAAACAGTAAGGAGAAGAAACAAAACTAAATTTAGTGATTAATGTAAACCAGTTATGAATTATGTTCCAGTAAAAGCCTGGGTGGGGGGGAAACTATTCAAGTCACATTGTGCTTTTGGTTATGTATCTCTCTGTATCCATCAGCATTCTCGTTTATTATAGTAGTAGAGGTAAGCATGGTCTAATGCAAGTATTTATAATAATCCTGCATATTTAACCACCTAACTAGATGTGATTAAACACCTGGCATGCAATAAACATACATCTAGTCATTTTGCAGCTGAAAGATAAGACTGGCTTTTATATGTATGATTTTAAAAATATGTAATGCTAAAAGCTAGGAAATTCTCAGAAATCACAGTATCACCCAGCTCCCAACAGGAACAGGGTCAGTCAGCTGGTAAAGATGTAAGCTGACCTTGGTTCTGACAGTTAAGGGTTGGCCAGAAGCTAGAGCAGCATGAAAGCCACCAACAGACACACCAGAAATCCTATGAACGTAGGCAACTTACTTGCGTAACTGTGTAAGACAATGATGACAAGTCTTCAAGGGTCTATCAAGATATTGTTTAAGAACTGAAAAAAATTGGGGCAGAGGGCATGGCTCAAGTGATAGAGGGCCTGCCTAGCAAGTGCAAGGCCCTGAGTTCAAATCCCAGAACTGCAAAGTAACAAGAAAAAGGATTGAAAAAATTTGATGGCTAAAAAAAATGATGAAAAATAAAGTACCTAAAAACATGATGAAAAACAAGTGAAGCATTCTTACAAGAATGAACATCAGAAAATGTTCTTATTAATGACATGATGAAATTTCTAAAGAAAAATGTGTGAATTAGGAGATAAATACTCTCCTATTGAACACGAATTAAGGCTTGTGAGGCAAAAGGCAAAGGCAAGCCTTTCAGAAGCAGAGGAAACATTTCTTGGCAATCCTATAATGTAAAGTGATTAAAAAAACAAACAAAAAACAGACAGTTGGAAGGACCCAATGAAACCAACCAATCCGCTGCCTAGGGATGTAGCCAGCCTCACTGGTAGACTGCTGCCTGGAATGCATGAGGCCCTGGGTTCGTCTCCCCAGCACCCTACCTGGTGCCCCCTCCCCCTACCAAAACCAACCTGTCCAAACACAGAACATACTCTCACTTGAGGACTTCTACACTTTCTTTTCCATCTCACAGCAACGCTTTGCCCAAGAAGTGTGCATGGACCTCCTTCCTCATCTCTTTAGTGACGTCTTCCTAGACTGTTTTACTTAGCAGTATTTACCACCAGCCTCTCACCCTTCACTTTTCATCATAGCATTTATTAACCTTTATATTTCTCCCAGTTGCTAGAAAATCCAAGCTCTCTGAGTGCAGGAATTTTTGTCTGCTTTTGTTCATTGCATCCCAGAGCCTGTACAGTGCCTAGGATACAGCAGTATCTACAGTAGGTATTTGTTGGGTGGAAGAAAGGAAGGGAGGGACAAAGGGAGGAAGTAGTTAAAATTTTGCGTAAAATATTCTAGCACACACTCTACTGACAGCTAGCTGACTGCCTTTTTACATGTTTTTATCTACTGTCCACAGGTCGCAGATTGACATCTTTGGAATGTCATTCCATGGCACAGAATCCTGAATCTATTAATTTGTGGTGATATATACCACAAAACAAATACCTTATATGTATACATTCCCAGAATTAATATAGTGGTCTTTGTATCTGTGTATCAAATAAAAAAGTTAGTATTTCTGTAATGTATCTTATGTACTCACAGTATTAACAATTCCTTTTTTGAAAGTTAGAATCACTACCAGTCAACTAGAAATAACATGAGACAGACAGGAAGCCATTAGTAAAAAAAAAAAAAACTTTTTAATTCTGATTGCCAAATTATTTAAGGCAGGTATAAAAAAGGAAAGCATTCAATATACATTTTACATAAAATAAACTAGATTACAGCATAAAACAAGTAACCAGGCAATGGCGTTAAAGTCTCTCTTTTCTAAAACTGGGTAATTGTAAACATTAAAAAAAAAAAAAAAAGGACTTAAGGACTATTCAAGTAATAGAAGAATCACAGATGTCTCTGGTATGCAGGCTATTGGGTTATTTGCCATTCAAGATTACCAAAAAAATGACACCTCATTATTCACAGATGCTCATTATTTCCCCATTTTTAATCTTTACATTATATACAACACAGTTTTTGTGGTACTGGCAACCCCATGCCTTCCAAAAGTATTTATTTCCACAATACACAAGTACAAACAGTGACTACAGGAACATTTTACACTGATGCATCTGTAACAGGAGCCACCAATTAGACATCTAAATTGTACCAAGTGTTATCATCATAGCTCGCCTTTCTGAGGGGCTTATGGGAAATAGATGAAGGAGATGCAAAGTTCAGGCACACTGATACATAACATTATTTATTTACAATTTAAAAGGAAAAGAAAGTAAGCAGCCTTTTGTGGCTAACACTTTTCAACATGACAAATACATTTTTTTAAATTTCCTTTACTGAGTGGTTTGTAACTTGGCAGCAGACCCTGTGTGCGAGCCTGGTTACTGATACAAAAAGTAAAGAATATATATAGATATATATATATGTATATATACAGATATGTATACGTATATATATATAAAACAGAAGTTTAATTACAGCAACATTTGTTACTCTGTGATAAAATCTGTAATTTACAAAAATGAAATGACTGGTTTTTGCCTGCCATTAAGGCATTTCAAATTAACACCATGGAACTGATGTCTGTATAAAGCGCTTCCTCATGTGATCCGGTCACATGACACCGTACACTTCGATCCTGTTACTCCCTGCAAAAGAAAAGCACAGCTTATTTTTACCATGGGGTTCTGTCAGCCTCTGACCTGAAAACTGTGCTGACCAAGAGGCTTATTGTACTTCTGTTCCATTCATGGAATTTGATTCCAGAGATAGTAAAGAAACACAAGGCAATGATATACATTTTGGGAAGAATGTTAACTTTATATTAATAGGTTAATTCCTTTAAATTATTTTCCTACTTAAAACAACTTGAGGGGTAATTTAAAACGTCATAGAACAAACACTACCTCTAGCATCACAAAAATAAATGTCTCCATTTACAGCACTTTTTAAATATAATAAAACAAAATTTATTATATTGAATTTATTTTAGTTTTTTGCCGTGCTAGGCAAGCGATCTACCACTGAGCTACCTCCTCAGCCCCGTGAATTGTAAGAACGCTATGAGGATAACCTAAAGAATTTTCAACTGTCTTAAAAACCAATTGGTCCATTACCAATCTATGTTTACAGAACGATGTTCGTGAAATCTCTGTCCCATGTCAAGCATACCAGCGTAATAAATACATTCATTAAGTGCTATAAAAGCACTGCGAACCAGGGTTTTCATCTAACAAACCCTATATTTGCTTCTTCACAACAAATTCCAAGTGTAGAGGGTATTTACCTTCTTTGTGCAGGAAACATCCCTGATGCAGATGCCTGGGCAGCCACCTGCTGAGAGGCAACGAGGGCAGCAGAGGTCAAGCCTAATGAGGGAAAGAAACACAGGGTTGCCATGGCCCGTGGAAAGATAAAGAGTAGACACAGGCCCAATGGTGAACCAGCAGCAGCAATTTGTCCTTTCCTAAACATGAAATTTTCATACAGCAAAGACAGGCTACAAACCATCTGATCAAGCCAATATCTATCACGTTATTGACCACTCTGTGGTTTTCTTAATAGCTATTCAAAGAGGGTACGGCATTCCATTTCTCTGGCTCGGCATGGTGCTAAATGGTTTGCATGCATTCCTGAACAGGGAGCTGGAGAAATAATAGATGCCAGCTAACAACAGGAGTCACAAGGTACAGTGAATTACAGAAGCAACATGCTATTTGCTTAGAATACTTTTATAATAACTTTTGTCACTCTTTTTTTCTCCAGTGCTTTAAACACAATGCTTCTCGTGAAGAACATGGAGTCAGGAAATCAAATTTGCAAAGTCTAAACTTTTCTAAGTCTAACACAAACTCAGACAAAAGGAACAGAGAATGCAATGGCCCCAAATGGCACCGAGCTTGTGTGACAGAACTTTACATTTTTCTGTAGAAAACAGTCTTGGGAAAAATAGAGTAAACAAAGGAAATCTACAGAAGATTTCTCTTTCCTTCTATGTCCTTTATTTGGGTGTATTTTTTCCCACAGATAATTTAAGACAGTACAATGACAACATATAAAAAATGATGTAATATACTTTCTGTTCTCATAAACACTAATATAGCTGTAATGTGTTAGAAACCAAACCCCTCTCTCTTCCAAGTTCTCTCATTCAATACGAGTTGTTTAGGACACAGATACGCTCTCATTTACTATGTGATGACAAATGAGTAAAGGCTATGTGAGCACACAGCAGGTGCTCACCTACAAGCCAGCAAGGGAGCCCTCATCAGAAACTGACCAGCACAGCTGGCATCCCTAACTCTCAGCCTCCAGAATGGTGATGAGATAAATGTCTGTCTGTTGTTTAAATCTGTGATATTTGGTTATGACAGCAGCAATGGCAGACAAAGACAACAAGGTCCTAGGGAAGGGGATCTGTTGGTAAAGACTTGGCTACCACTTACCCCTTATGAGGTTACAGAGCCGGGACAAATAATACATGCTCAACTAATCCCCATCAACTAACAATGCTCATTCATTCAGTTCCATGGCTTTTTAAGGTTTCTTTTTCCAGACTGTCCTCTTTAGCAAGAGTCAGAGCAGTGAAGGGCTGGGAAGAGTCTTAGGTTATAAAGTGTTAAACCTGATCATGGCAAAAGAACAACTTAAAAAGCCTGGAGATGTCAGGACAAATAATTTCAGCAAAGCCTCCTTCTCTCCCTCCCTTTTCTCTACAATTTCCCTGAAGTAGATATCTGATCTTCTGATTGTTAAATTCAGTGCCCCAGACAGTGGCAGCCACCCTCAGTCTCAGAGATAATAGTAAGCCTCAGATAACATCAACCAGTGACAATTATTAAGTGGTAGCCATTTCATGTCTCAATAGAATACAAAGATGTGGGACTAGCCTTAGCTGTGTCACTAGGAAATACTAGATACTAAGTGTTAAAAATTCTCCCAAGAGCTAATGTTAATTCAATATTTTGATTTTAAAACAGTGACAGGCAGTTTTAGCAGCTGTTTCCCAAAGCAGAATGAAAAAAGACACAATCATGATGGAGCCACTGACCTTGAAAAGGATCGTATTGACCAGGGATTAGAGGGTAACCCATGCCAACATGGGTGTGGTGATGTGTATGCAGGTGCCGCTGGCTGAAGGGGGAGTGGCGATCCCTCTCTCTTTCCGCCTCCCGTTCCCGCTCAGCTGTAGCCTTTTCCACAGGCTGCAAAAGAAAAGAGAAATTTTCCCCCTTAAATTCCAAAATACAGCTAGTCAAAAGTATGGAACCACCTCTGACCCTTCAGCAAGGCTGTGTTCAGGAATCACAAGTACATCTATGGACACTTAAAATGCTGTATTAGTTAAGAGAATCTCAAAAAACATGCATTAGTTTCCACTGCAATTAAGCCAAAAATAAAGGACTGTTCCACCCAAAGTAAGCCAACTGGTATCAATATTCCTCACATGATTAAAGAGAAACACTATTTTCACTCATAATTATAGGTTTGTGATCAACCTAGTATCTTCCAAAAACAACTTTTACATGTGGATTAAAAATACAGGAGCAGTTTGGGAAATATTTTTTAAGGTCAAGTTTTCTAATTATACTTTTATTTATAAATTGTGTGGGGGAACCTATCTCATTTTCAGTGTTTCACTGAAAGCACATATACCAACATACAATACAATTTGCCTTCTGTATCCTGAGTTAGTTCCACATCCCGTGATTCAACCAACCTTGGGTCAAAAAATATTAGAAAGAAAATTGCCAAACTAAATACATATAGACATTTTTTCTTGTCATTATTTCTTAAACAATATAGCAAAACAACTATTTAGAGCCTTGCATTGTATTAGATATTACAAGTAATCCAGAGATGGTTTAGAGTACAAGGGAGGGCATATGTAGGTTCTGTGCAAATATTATGCCATGATTTGACATTAGGGAAGGGAGCATCTGTGGACTTGCTACCCCTGAGGGGCCCTGGAACCAATCCTCTGCCACAAGGGACACTCACAGGAAATCATTGTTCTGTCCTTGTCCTAGTCTCTCTCCATATCTGAACACTCAGAAAAGGACTCATAGATCACCTTCTTTAGTTTCTCTACAGAGTGTCTGGTAGAGTCCTTCACATGCAGGAATCAATTATTTTGAACTTCTCTTTTCTAGCCAGGAACCATCATCTTTCTTTAGTCACTCTTTAAACAGCCTCTTGGTCTAGTATTTGCCTTTTTGTGGGGGAGAGCCACTTTCACAAAGACATACATTTGCATTATTTCAGTGCAGATACAGGAACAGGACAATGAGTCAAGGCAAAAACCCAGCAGATGCAGCCCACGCTCCTTTAGTCAAGCGACTCACGCTTGCATGTCAGCCTGACACTGAGCAAGATTCAAATTTGTGTCCGAATAAAATTAACAGTTAGCACGTATCATGGATGTGACAGCCTCCAACCATGGATAATGACCACAAAAATACCACAGGCCAGCAGAAGAATTCAAAAACTCAAGTCTTTATGGAGGTCAGGTTAACAACAGAGATAAATGATGCAGGCTGAGTGGATTTTATTTATATACACATTGACACAGGCAGGGACTGGGACGCAGGCAGCTTCTCCCATCAATTACTGCTATGTGATTTTGGACCAGATTGCTATTGTCTTAAATCAAAGAGAGCATCTTAATTTGTATAAGAAAACTCTGATATTTGAAATTTGAAGGTTGTCCTCAAAGATAACATTTTTTAAAAGCCCAGTTTGTGAATGGTTGGTTTGTACCCTCTGAACTAGTTATAAGGATGTTATAGAATAGTCTTCTGGTACTTAACTTCTCAATGTTTTATCAATAATATTTTGCACCAGAGAGTCACTTTCTCTAAATTAAAATTTCTACCTCACAAGCCTCCTCCCGGGCAAGGAAGGTAAGCCACATTTTGTCACAGAAAAGCTCCAGGCCACCATACACACTTGAACAAAGTTCTCCCTCCAGTTTGAAAGCATCTTACTTTTTGATACTTCATCCTATATGCATTAGGATAAACCAGCACCCTGAAGTCATGCTGGGTGCCCAAACCATTTGTATTTCAAGTCTGTTCTCTAGCTTGCCCATGCTTCCCCCAACCCCCAAACACAGTCCTAACTAACAAGGAAGGGGGCTTACAGCGGGAGACTTGCTGCGGTACTGGTTGGCATGCTGCTGGAGCAAGTCCAGTGCTTTGGATTCAGTGGTTGTTTTCGTGCTGATGCTGGGGCTGGTATTGACTTTCTCTGCCTCTTCTCTCCCTGACATCTTCCCATAAACAGGATAATGAAATCCTGGAGACAGATAGGCCCCTGCAGATAAACAACAAATGCCACATCAAGTTACAGGCTACATCTTAAAAAAAAAAAAAATCTGGGTTACATGACTTTGGGATAAGAGTCAGACATCTTAAAAGAAGGGGTTACATTAAGAGAGGGCTACTCATTGTTAAACTGTGTGTAGGTTCTCTGGTTTTCTTCTCCAGTTAATTCATCCTGATGAACAGAGGTTATAAACAGGATTGAGCTTACAGACAGTTCACACATTTATGTGTTCGCTTAAGTGAAAGGAATAGTAACTATAATGATTATGACAGTAAGTACTTAGAATATTTTCACAGGCAATAAAGTATCTGTCAGTCTAATGTTTACAGCAGACCATCAGAGACTATGGAAGCTACAGCTGAGGACTCTTGACATTTCATTTCAAAAAAGTCTTACATTAAATCAGTTTCATCTTTGGGATTTTGAGCAGCATAAAAACAAGCAAAACAAACATCATTCTTGAAGTCCCTAATTTATCTTGAGTTTTTTATCACTAATATTTGAACATAGCCTCTTCCCTCCAATGTAGTTAGAACCCATGACACGTACCAGGGTAACTGTGCATTAGGACTGGAGAAACAGCCCGGTATGCAGGGTGGCTGGGGTCATACATCTGTGGGTAAGGATAAGCATGCAAGTACTGTATGTATGACTGATGCTGACTCAGGGGTGAGGACACAGCCACTCTTGTCCCCCGAGAGTCCTTCCAGTTCACAGGAGTCTTTCGGTCATCATTTTTCAGCTTGCTCTCTTCCATTGATTGAGAATCAGGACGCTTGGCCTCTTTGGGCTCCTCCTTAATGCTTGTTAATGACACAGGAAGGCTGGGTGTACCACTCTCTTTATTAGGAGTTTTCCTTGGACTATCCTCTTTCAATTTTTTCTCTCTATCAAGGTCCTCTGACTTCTGCTGCTCCAGATATTTGGGTTGGTATACATAATGATGCCATGTCCTTGAATCTGGATCCTGATTTAAAAACAAAACAAAACAAAACAAACAAACAAAAAAAACAGATGTGCCTTAAAATTTCAATTTTGAAAGGAAACCCATTAATCATCATGGCAACACTTCCACTATTCCTTCTCACACTAAGTTACCATTAATTTATGTCCTAGGCAGGTGTTATTCCTCTTCTCATAAAGTAATAAAGTCTGATTTAGGCATTATTATTGGTCCTTTTACAAAAGACAAACCAAAAGCTTTTAAAGTCCAAGCAACATCAAGACCTCATGGCTGCCTGGTTGTGGTGCCAACTGAGTTGGGCCCTTAATGTTTTTCTCAACATTAAATAACATCCTCGGACATATTGAATCCAATCCTCATCTTCCTTTTAATATCTCACATAGGTAAAAAGGATTTTAAAAACTCCAACAAGCTAACAGTTTCAAATTTAAGAAATTAAACGATGTTCACATCACTTAGGAGGACAGTTCTTGGGTCTCCTACTACATTTCCTTCAAAAGCTACAGCTGAAGCTTAATATACTGGCTCACTGTTCATTACGTGCTAACATCCTAATCAAAACAAAATTTCAAATAGCACACATGACAGCTTCTCTATTAGAAAATAAAGCAATCTATATCCCGCCACCCAAACTGCATTGTTCTAAATGCAGTCTGATGTAGGCTCTGGAAAAGAGGGAACTGAGAATCCCGAATGGGCTTTACAACCCCCATCCCATTAATGGTGCAAACCCACGAGGTATTTAGGTCCTGAGTGAGCACTCAAGGTCTGGCTTAAGGCCCAACTTTGGGCAGAAAAGTACATGAAGAAAGGCTTCTTGTTCTGATTCACCAGGGACTAAGCATGGGGGCGGTGCTGGGAAATAGCAGAATTAATGCTCACAGGACTGCAGTGAGCCAGGACGTCTGAACCATGACAGAAGTGCTAGCACAGGTGTGGCTTTATGGTGACTGATTTTCGGGTGTTCTCAGACTGGTTGACCGTGAGGCTCCGGGACAACTGCTGAGGCCCATCACCCACACCTCCTGGCCCTTCTCACTGAACGAATGCCCAGCACTGAACTTGGCTTTGGATACTTAATACCAAGTGTGAAGAGAAAGCCAGGCATCTTACACCCCATGGGAAAGCCACATGAAAGAGATGAGTGGGACCCAACTGTTAATATTCTTAGGAGATGCTAACAGAAATTTGGATGCTAAAACTTTTAGAGATTGGTCTCTGAATCTCAGAGTTTGAGAGATTCGGCAGCCTGGTAGTGGAATGCCTTCACCTTGACCTCGGTAAGAAATTTAGGGATCTTGTCAGACACACAGAATTCAATGATGGTGTGGAGTACATGTCTGCAAGAGCACATGTTCAGAATTCCTTTTACTACACACTATGACAAGAAAACAGTGAGCAATGCACAGAGGAGAGCTATACAGTAACTCCCAAGAATCATTTCAGATATTTTTTCAGAAGACAGAACAACCCTGATGCTGGATTCTTCCTGTACAAGAGGTCTAACCAGATCAAGCCCAGACGTGTGCATGTCTCTCAGACTGCTGTCTCTCTGTGGGGACCGCGTTCCACACTCTTACTTGTTTAAATCTCGAGGTTGGGTCTACACCTGTCTGCTTCATAGAGTCCATGACAGATTTCATTTCTACAGCCTCCTTAATTAGCTGGTGGTTTTCCATCTGCTTAGCTTTGAAGCTGTCGGCCTGAAGCTGCTGCTGGTGACTGGAGAGAAGCTGCGATTTACCTGTCTCCTCAGTTTTATTAGGCACTGATGGCCCTAGTTTAGAATGGTTTTTGTTAGGCTCTGGAGTAGAGGGAGCTTTTGAGATTGTGGCCGATGGCATGTTTTTCTGCTTACTGTCTTCCTTGCCCAGTTCTTTCAAAGGAAGCTCGGTCTTCCTTTCACAGTCTCCTCTCCCAGTCTGTGCCATTTTCTGCTCTGCCAGCCTCTGGTCCTCATAGTACTTTTCATATTGCTGTCTATAGGCAGGGCTGGTGGCCATCAGAGACTTCTGGTCCATGTACAGCCCATAGGCATACTGGCCGTAGTAAAGTGACTGAGCCAGAGCAGGGTGTCTTTGTGTGATCACTGACTGGTGCTGCGGCTGGAGGGAGACAGAATTGTGGTCCACTTTCTTAGAGTCTAACTGCTCTGCCTTGTCTTTCTTCTCTGTGTCTTCCTCAGACTCCTTCTTGATCTTCATTCCCTGTGTGCTCCCGCTGTTCGCAGCCGTGGGGGCACCCACCTGGCCGGGATGCATGTAACTTGGAGAATAATAAGGATCATAGCCATGGTAATAGGGAGAATGGGACTCTTTCAGTTGAGACGATTGTGCTGCAGCTGAATGTCCTTTGACTACACCATCCTTACTCGAAATGATATCTGATGGGGAACTGGCCTTTGACCTCATGCCCTCTGACCTGCTGTCAGAACCACCGTCATCAGCAGCATCAGATATGTCTGAATAGGCTGGGCTACTGGTCTTTGCAGCTGAACTCTCGGCCCCATTCTGGGTCAACACATGTAGTGGGGCCATGGGAGCCTGCCCGTTCACCAGAGTGCTACACTCCATCCTCGAGGCGCTCCCGATGGAAGGGCTGGGGGCGTTGTCAGTGAACGTGTAAACCTTGTCGGCCTCAGCTTTGATGCTGGCCATGCGGCTCTCCTGAGACTCCGACAGCCCATTGGCCAGCCCTTCGTTCTTATTGAGATGGTCCTTTAAAAAATGTCCGGATAGGTCTTTGCCAGCCGCCTTGGAGTCCTCTAGTTTCCCCAGCTTTGCATCCATTTTCGGGCTTCCCATCTCCTTCCCTTCTTTGTCCTTTAGCTTTCGCTTCTCCTTTTTCCTTTTGTCTTTGAGCGACACCAGAGCTGGGTTCACGGTCATGGGTTCTCCCATAATGGTGGGCTTTGGTTGGATGGGTTTTAATGGAGGACTCTTTGGTGTGGCCTGGACCACCGTGGTGGTGAGGGAGGGCAGTCCGGGGATGGTCCCCGTGGTGGTGGTCGTAAAGGCTGCCGTGGGTATAGCAATTAGTTGTGGGGGAGTAGGGGCTGGGGCAGGGGCGATGGGCCGGGCACTTTTCAGTTTAGAGAGATTTTTGTCCATTTTGCAGTTGTTAGCTTTTTTGCCCTTTTCTTTCTCTCCCAAACTTTTCTTGTCAATCAATCCCTCTGCTTCCAGTTTGGGCATTTCGGTTGCTAAACTGCCGTCTGCTACTGAACAACCGTCTAATGTGGCCGTCATGTTGGAGATGACCGGAAGGTTGTTCAGTTCATTGTTGAGGCCCTTCTTTTTGCCAGAATTCTTCCCAGCTTTCGAACCCATAATAGAACCTGGGCCATTGCTCAGCAGCTCTCTCTTTCCCTTGGGGGTCCCAGGGGGGTTCCCAGCCCCAGGGGATACGGGTGCCTTCACCTGGTCATAGGCAGACACACTTGTGCTTGGCTCACTGCATTCGAGAGTCACATTACCCAAGGGCTCCTCGCAGTCTGAGATCTTGTCCTCACTGTCAGGCTCGAACTCCAGCTTGTTTTCGGGGTCTAAGTGTGCATGAGCCTGGTGATACCTCAGGCCGTTAATGTGCTTGTACTTTTTGTTGCAGTTGGGGTGAGGACAATCGATTAACACTGGAGAGGAGCAGCCTTGGTCCAAAAAAGTAGTCTCTGGTTTCCCTTGAGGGGTGGTAGGAGTGCTTCTGGAATTTGTGCGGACGCGCTTCCCAGGCTTACTGTCCTCGGAGCTGGAGTTCAGGTCCAGTTCCATGGGAGGCTTGTTTTTCCTTTTATTAGTGGAGGAAGGACTGGCTTTGATGTCCTCAGCGGCACAATTTGGGGGGGTCCTTCGTCCGCTGGCGTTGAGGCTGCCCCGCCTTCCTTTCCCATTGGCCCCCCCCCTGTTTTTGCTCTGCAGCCCTCTGGATTCTGTGAAGCTGGCCTCGGTGCCCGGGGCAGCGGCAGCAGACCTTGCTCTTTTTCCTCTGCCCCGGCCGCCTCTCATCTCCAGGTCACTTGTTGGTGACTCACAAAACCTAGGGAAGCAATAACAGATGTTAAAATGAGCACCTCCAAAAGAGCCAGGTGAAATCACAAGGCACACAATGCAGTAAAGGGGAGTCAACACTTTTTTGCAGCTTAAGGGCTGAGCCCGGTCAAGGGAAGGACACCCCATTCTAGCAGTGAAGGTCTCAATGCCCACCAAAGAATAGGGTACCTCGGAAAACCAAAAACAGCTCGGGTAGCTAGCTTTCAGTAAGTGCAAATTCCCATTTGTAGACTAGAAGAGAACAAAGGAGACAGAAGGGGCGGGGAGTGGAGAGTTTCTGGTAGAAAAGAAAGCCAGTATCTTCATTTTACTGTGTTCAGGCCTGAATTGCTCATTTCTCTTTTGCCTGGTTTCAATTACAGGAAGACTTTTATGTATTATTAATCTTTTTCTATAGTTTTCTTGCAAAGAGAGGATGGGGGAAGGAGACAAATAAAAGCTGCATACCTGGGAGGGGCCCAGTCATGCTTAGTGCAGTCCAGTAGAGTTCCAACATAAGTTTTGTTCCTCCATGTGACATTGACCACTAGGACACCTGTGGGGGAGGGGATGAAAAGGGACCACATTTAACGCTGATTACTTTATTTCCACTTCATTTATTGTTATTATTTTTACCAGCAAAGATCTATTCTCATATGCTTTCAAAAGCTGTGGTTTGCATGCTTCCTCTTTCTGGTTTCAGTGACCTCAAGTTAAAACCCACAGGACATGTGTGTGTGTGTGTGTGTGTGTGTGTATGTGTGTGTGTACTTGTGCGCATGTGCACTTGGTACGGAAGCATGAGACTGTGTGTGAGAGTGTAATCAAGATGCTGCTGACAGAAGGAAATGGTTTTTGCCATGTCCTGCTGTAAAACAGCAACACTCACCTCTTAATTTTTCTATTATTACACATAATTGCTTTCGTTTGGCAAGCAGCCAACATAAACTAAGCGCCAGTTACCAGTGCTTAAACCAGAAGATGACTGAAAGGAACTGGCTTTGTTTCCAATTCAACAATATAAAATAATGGTGATTTTTATTACCAAAAAATTATGCAAGTGCATAAAAATAGGTGCAGAGAGGAAAGAAGAGTGCAATCAGCTAGTATTTCTCCTTCCTAGTCCTCCCACTTGGACGTTGTGAGACAATACTCAGCCTTGGTATGGTCTCTGTTTCACTGTTTGGTCTTGCTTCATATTAAAGGACTCCGAAAATAGCCCTCTTGAGAAAATAAATGTGCACAATAAATTGACTTTGGGGTTATCTTTAGAATCAACTTTGGTAAGCATTTGCCACAGAGGATTAGAAAAGAAATCTCAAAACCAACACACTTGTTTCTTGCAAGCCATTCTGCTTTGCAGACAGACAATTTAATTTAGCAGTGCATCTGTGAATTACTAAACTTAAGTGCACTTAGTATACCAAATGTTACAAGGAAACAAAATATAGCATCCTCTTTCTTTCTCCTGAGGACAAATGCCATTTAAAAAAAAATCACTCTTTAAAGCATATTTTAAAGGACCTAGATATTGAAACATACTTAACCTATTAGGGAAAATAAATGAAATATTTAATGACCTTTGTTTTCTTTACGGTGCCTATTCCCCCTCCCCCACCTGCATCACCCATTCTTTCTTGTAAAGACCAAAAGACAGGGCTCAAAGTCGGTTTCTGGCTAGTTTGCTCACTTGCCCTACCGCAGCCATTTTGAATTTTACAAAAAACTTGAACAGAGCTCCTGTATGGCAAAGGAAAGTCTCACAAGGTAAGACTCATTTCCTTGGGAACCTTTTAACAGCAGGTAAAATATGTGAATGGCTGAGGCTCAAGCAGTGGGGAAAGAAGATTTTCTTTCAAAACTCTCAAAAGGAGATTTTAAAACTGTTTCCCATATGGTCTATGTTGCTATTACTTATGTGACAGCTGAATTTACAGTGAGTAAATTCAGCCTATTGTAGCAATAGTTGAGCTAGGGGAAGCAAAGCAAGCATTTCTGAAAATCATGACTGATTCCTTTGCAATTCCCTCAGGAAAAATTTTTCACCGTTTAGTATAGAAATTCTTATTGCGATGAGAATCAATGGTAATTAGGCATTTGGTCAAAAATTGCACAAGACAGAACAATTGAAGGAAAGGATTCTTTATGAGCACATCCCTTCAGGAAAGGGGAGGGGGTAGGAGAGGAGGCCAAAGGGAAGACTGAGCTGGTTTTCTCATCATCTACTCTCTGGGGCACTGTGTGTAGTGTCAAAGACCTTTGCAGCTGCTTAAAATTTTTAGCATGTCAGCTATATTTACGGTACAGGAATATATCTGTATTGCCAGAAGGTTAATGCATTTTAGCTTGAGAGGCAATAGGCTGAAATCACTGCGTTCCAGAGTCCCCGATGTAGCACAAATGTATAATTAAAATTGCTTGAAAGGAAACATGAAAGAAACAACAAACCCTCCATTCTTGCAGTAATAAAATTAAAAACAGGAAAAGTCTGCACAGACACTTAACATTTGTCTGCAGTGAAAGGCTTTTGTTATTGCTTTCCCCCTGAGGGGTTCGCCTTTCCAGCAGACGCTGGCCCGTGATTGGCCAGCGCCAGCTGCAAATGCTCGCGTCTGATTGGCTGGGCCCAGGGCGGCCGCCGGAGCTCAGGAGGCAGCGGGGGAAAGGATGCGGGAGGGGGAGAGGATGCTGTCCCTCGGTGGGCCGGCGTGGAGCCCTCTGTGCCCTTCGTCTACCTCGGGCCCAGCAGCCTGGTCTGCACTAACAAGGCCCGTCCCTTGAGATACCCTCGGAACCGAATTTGCCAAAGCGGATGGCCGGAGGGGGGGGGGGGGGGGGAGGGGAAGGAACCCAGAGCAAGCAATCCTTCAGGCACAGAGGCGGGACTGCAGTCGCAACTTCCACACTGTGAAACTGCACGCAAACCCACTTCCGGTCTAGGTACAAGCCATACTGTGACTGTTGTTTGTCCTTGGTGGGAATAAAATCCTGTTAAGCCAAGCCCATTTTTAACTTCAAAGGGCCTAAATAATCCACCCTTATTGTTCTACAAGCCCTGTATTTAAAATGTCCCAAACAAATGCTCCACTCCCAGGGACATTCTGAACACTCCCCATCAAACAGTGCCTATTAGTGAGCCTGTCTGTCTTTCTTTCCATGTACAAGGCTTTACAATGCTACGGAGTATTTAAATCTGCCTCGAATTCACTTACACACACACACACACACACACACACACACGTTTACACAGCCAAATCTGCTGCCCAGTTGACAAGCCAAGCCCATTTTTAACTTCAAAGGGCCTAAATAATCCACCCTTATTGTTCTACAAGCCCTGTATTTAAAATGTCCCAAACAAATGCTCCACTCCCAGGGACATTCTGAACACTCCCCATCAAACAGTGCCTATTAGTGAGCCTGTCTGTCTTTCTTTCCATGTACAAGGCTTTACAATGCTACGGAGTATTTAAATCTGCCTCGAATTCACTTACACACACACACACACACACACACACACACGTTTACACAGCCAAATCTGCTGCCCAGTTGACATGAGGGCTTAAGGAATGTCATAAACTACACAGTGTATGGTTTCTTTGTAAGAAGGTCTATGTTTAGACAACATCCCATTATGAAGGCCAAGTATAAAGTTGATGGTTTAAATGGCTTATCGTTTTCATGAAAAATCATGAACATTTTGGAACCCATGGCCATATAAAGGAGACTATACTCACTAAAGGTATAATGCTCAAGAAGCAAGTTAGTCAATTCTGGCTTTTTAACCTTGTAGACTCAAGTATTTCATCAGGGTTCTTACCCCTCCCTTTCCACCATGGACTTGGATGGGTATGGTCTTTCTCAAAGAGCTAACGTCTGTACCCTTTCATATCTGAAAAATACCTGAGCTTATTTCTAGTAAAGTAAAAATACAGCAGAAGGGTATAACAGATGGCATGAAAGTGGCTTACCACACATGCTTTTGTATTGTTGACACCTTGCCTCAGATGTGGGGACAAAATCTAAGATGCTGCTCGAAAGGCATACTGCCTGTAGACATTTCATACAATCACAGTGTTTACTGTGCAACCTGAGCTCCTATCTCTTACAAGCCAAAAAAAAAAAACCCCGAGGCCTCATGAGGATTCCAGTGTCTAGTCAGGCCCACTGAGCATTTGCTATCCCCTTTTGGTGCTATGAAATCAACCACATTTCAGCTGGAACTCTGTCCAAATTCTGTATTCAAGAGTCTGCCATCTTAAAACTAACATGGGCATACACTGTAATCCAGAAATATAGGTATAGCTTTCCATTACTGCATTTATCGAGTAAACCTTTTCTTCCATCATATTAGACAAGACCCTAGATGTTACATCCTGATGCCTACCTTGTCCTCAGTCCCTGCTCAGAAGGTAGCCTTGGGTGACCTGGCTCTCAGACCAGTAGTCCCAGCCCTGGCTATATCAAACTAGATCGGTGCTGGACACCTGAAACAGAGGCAACCAAACAGAGACCTATAATGGGAATTTGAATCAGTAATATGGAAATTCTGGAAAGGTGGTACTAAGAGTAGATGAAGGTCAGAAGGTAACTAAGAGGCTAAGAGGATGGATGATGGGCCAAAGCCCCAAGGATGCAGCAGCCAACTGCTGGTGCAAGCCCTCTACACTTGTGTGTCGTGTGTAGTGTGTGTTTGGTGTGTGTATATATATGTAAGTGTGCACGTGTGGTGTATATATCTGTGAGTGTTGTATATGTATGTGTACGTGGCATGTGGGAGCTGTGTTTGTGTGGTGCATTGTGTGTGTGGTATCGGGTATGGTGTGGTGTGTATATTCCTTTTTTCTCAGTCCTCATCACTGACAAGAGAATTTCACTAGCACCCACCCAGAACTGCCTAGCTATTTTTCCAGTCATCTTGGTAAAGTTATTAATTATGTTAAATCAAAACTTGCCTTTGAATCCTGTGGTCCTGGCAGTGCCTTCTATACCCTGCAGAAGAATTTCATGCATCCTCCACCTGACAGCCTTTTATCTGTCCAGGCAAGGGCAAAACCACTGTCTCACTTCCAAGTCACCCTTTCTTTTTGTCCCTCTAGCCTACCCAAGTTTAACTGTTCTTCATGTTACACTTTAAAATCCTTTGAAAGGAATCTTAAATAAGATGCCTTATTCCAAATCCCTAGGGACAATGCCTAATAAGACCAAACAGAGCCCAGTCCCAGTGTGGTCTCTTTGGTGAATCTTCTCCTGAGCACATGTGTACCATGTGTGTTCTTCCATCAATGCCCATTCTCCCCTGGGTCCCAAACTGGATGTCAGGCTCAGTTCTCCCAGTAATGGGTACTCACCAGAGTCCACGATTCCCTCCCTTTTCAGAGTGCATAGTTGGACTCTTTCGGCCTCCCCATCAGTGGTGTGCCACTGAGCTCTACTAAAGGAAAGTGAGTGAAGAGGTGCAGACCACTTCCAGGTCTGGCCCATGAGAACTTCCCAGCATGTTCTTCTTGTACCCTCTGTTTTCTGGCTGACGTGGAAAGGGCTGACATGGACAG